AAGAGTGTATCCCACTGATATATTCAAAATGACTTTTGTGTGGTCTATCAATGTGAAGTACATCTAGGTTCATGTGTTCACACTGGATGCTCTCATTCTTTTCTCATGTTGTTTTTTGAATACAGAAAACAATGACATAGTTCAAAAGTCAAAACTGTAAAAAGCAATGCTGTGAAACGACGCCCCCCAGCCCTGACCTTTCCCCCCTTTTCCTCTAACCTTCACAGATAACATGTTTACCCCTATACGCCACCATTTTTGTTTTCCTTTAGTTTATCTTTCCTGTTTCTTTTGGAAGGAAATAAGATTATATATATTCATGGATCTTACACAAGAAGGTAGCATACTACATGTAATCTTTTGCACTTCGCTGGAAAAGCACATTTCGTAACCTAATCTGCAAACAGTGTGTTTTTACTTTCTGCTATCAGCAGGATGAGAGACTAGGTTCATAAAATGTGCGGGCAGAGCCATTTATTAACACCAAAAAGTGTTGCTTCTAGCATCAGGTTTTAGGACTTCTCGATAAAATGAGGGGGCCGAACTGGTTGCTCTCTGAGGCCCCTTGCCGTTCTAGCAGCCTAAATTATTCTCCCAGGAAGGGCACAGGACAAGACAGCAATAACCCGCATGTCTCGGGAACGGCATTCCTATTTACTTCTGAACACCAGCAAAATTATTTTTGTAGCTGCAAAAGTTTTCAAGGGCACCTTGAAGACCTGAGCCCTGGGACAGGGAAGCTGCTGCAGGAAGGAAAAGAGAAAAAAATTAACAGACCAAACGTGGTCCCACGTTCCCGTGAGCAAACTCAACATACAAAAATGGAGACTTATAGAAAAGCAAAATTAGGGGGTAAATGTTTGTTTTGATCAAGAAATCTTTTCTTTAGGAAAACCTTCACTCAACAGGATCCTTTTAAATAGTACGTTTCTCTGGCGCAGTGAAAATGATTCAATCTTCAAAAACCTGAGTCACATTTTCCCCAGAAATACCCTTGTGTTTATTACACATCTATCTATCTGTCGTATCTGAATGGAGATCTTTTAAAAAGTAAAAAGAATCATGAGTCTGTTACCAAGGATTTGGGCAGCTGAGCAGTGCGAGGGAAGCAAAAAGCTAACCAGAAATTGTTAGTTTTTTTTAAGGGCAATGAAAAGGAAATTCAATCTTTTTTTCCTCATGAAATCTGGAAAGTTCCCTATTTGAGGCTGGTTCATCGTAATGGATGGGGAGTACTGAAGTGTGCCAACCTTACTTGGATTACGAAGCAGGTTAAAATGCTGCATTTGAAATAAGATCACTTATCTGTTCTCAACAATTTACAAACCTTGAGTGACATTATAACCCAAACAGAGTAAAAAGCATGCCGATCGGGTTCATGGTTTTCCTAACATCTTCATGAATTCGGTAATACTTAAACATTACCTATGAGAACCACAAAAAGACATTTTGAAGTCTTTGTCTTAACACCTAAGGAATACAGTCAATGCATACTATAGAGTATTGTTTTTAAAACAGGATGTATTTATTACATCATAAACTCGGCAGCACATGAAACCAAGTAGTGTATCCATCTTTTGTTTTTCTTTTTAAATGAGAGGCTACTTTCCATTTCCAATACTCCGGGGGCCCCAGACAAGTACAGCTAGTTGGAACAGCAGGAACACAGCTAACTGTTGAGACTACAGCTCTCCAGGGGAACTCTGGGGACCTAAGGAGAAAGGTGACAGGGTTGGCAGCCAGCTTAGGGTCTCCCCAAGTTGGGGTTGGTCCAGGCTCTGCTGGTTTATACCCTCCATTGCTGGGGACTTTGGTACCTCACTGTTGTGCCCAGACATGAAATGTGTGCCTCCACCAGGCACAACGTGAGTGCCCGAGTTCTGTGTAAATTTAATTATTAGCATGAACTGAAGGTACTGTCATTGTTTAACTCATCCGACCTTTTAAATGGATAACCAACCTTGAGGCTTAATTGGATTTAAAAAAAAATCAATTTCTAGACATTGCATAGTGTTGAAATGAACTGCTGCATTCTCAGGCAATTGTAAAATCAGTTCGGCCGCAGACTATTTTTTATTATTTACAAATTTAAAATGACATTATCCATCTCGGTAAGTGCTTTATGTACACATACACCTTTTATAAACAACGGCAAACACACATGTGCGTCCACCAAGTCACGTCACAAAAGAATCCTTCTTTTCTGCTTGGCAGCAGGCTGATTCATCAGCCGCAGTCTCTTCACACCAATTACACAAAAAACTGAACTGGGGATAATGACACGCCACTGTTTGCAAATCTCTCTTAGCCTCAGCCAGTCTCATCTTTGTAATAAGAAAAAAATCCTTGAGGAAGCTTTTTACCAAATCACATCTTGACCATTAAATCTTTCTTGAAGAAGGTCATTTAATTTTATGGAAAGAAATGAACAATTAAAATGGCGTAAGCAGAAACAGCACCAGTCTGGAAACCAGAAAGCCCCTGGTTCTAGTTCGAGTCTCCTGACCTTGGCGAGCTCTCTGGTGGGTCTGTTTCCCCATCTGGAAAAACAGGAAGGCTATGGTAAAGAGGGGATGTCTAGTACCCCACAGATGATGAAAATGGAGATCTATTATGGTGTCCTGGGTCAAAACACCAAGCTACAAAAGAATGAAAAAATAAACCATTTGATTCCTTCAGCACTTCCTCTGAGAAAAAGAGACCAAATGATGCAAACCAGAGCCCTCTGCCTCTTGTTATAACATCTATAAAATGAGAGCAATAGTGATTACTAATGGCGGAATTTGGATGATTAGCTAAAAGCAATTATAGAATTATAGTTGACAAACAGAAAATGCTAAGCCCAGTGGTCTATTTTAACTGAGCCCGATTTAAATGTGCATGGTGTTGAATCGAGCCTCATTTAAATGGTCCATTTTAGCCAAGATTATGGAGCTGAAGTGGAGAACCACACAATTACCCTGAGCGTTCAGGACAGTCCATAGAGCTAATTTGGACAATTGGACAAATGATTATTTTCTTTTGCCTCAATTGACCAGATAATTGTGCACAAGTTTCTGCCATTTGCCTCTGTGGAATGTGCCTTTGTGTCCTGACAGCACCGAGCCCTAGACTGGTACAGTGACATCTGACCCAGGGTGGTGTGGAGTTGGGGATAAGACGCACTCCGTTGACACCCACTGTCTAACTCTTGAGTCCAAAACTGGAAACACTTTCACACGAGCTAGAAGTCCCTGCATGCCCAGCCAGGATCCCCACCAGTCCATCTAATACCTACTATTTGGGAGGAGGTTGTTTTCCCTCACTTTCAAAATGGAACTCAAACAAAAACATCAGGCAACAAGATTAGAGGTGGTATCTGGGTGGCCAAAAAATTTGGAAAGGAAATTAGTTTTTAAGGGGTTATTATACCCACAGATGTGTAATTTTAGGCAATGTTTGTAAGCATGCACGGTGCTAAATTCTGAAATACAGCTAATAGAAGATCTGTTAACCAGGTCTGCCTCCCTAAATCTCAGAAGAAATGGAAAGTCGTAAGGACTCAATGAATTAGAACCACTGAGAGGGTGGAATTCTTGGTGCTGAACTGTCTCCCCCACACCCAACCAGTGCACATTCCCTTCTGTGAAAATTTCTCTCCTTACGGTTCCCACATGGTCTGACTATGATAAGAGATCCTGATGATGAGAATTCACACAGCACACAGAATATGCTACCCTATTAAATTCAGAAACAAACTCTGCTAGGCTAGGTAAGTTGTTTTGCTGAAGCAACAGAGCTGTGGCAGACAGACTGGGAGGATTCTGGATCACTCAGACTTTTCGTGGTGATCAAACTTCTATAGCATGTTCACTAAAATCAGCAGAGCCCATCTGTGGTCAGCCTGCTTTTTCCTACAGTCAAGGTGAGCATTCACAGGTACCCCAGTAGTCTGCCACTTCCAGGCCTGCAGACAAGTCACCCCTCTAGGCTGGGTCTGCGTCTTTGCTGCTCCTCCCTAGGCAACAGTGCTGGGCCACCGAGACTCAGCCGGGAACACAGCCCAGGAAGAGTCTCGACAAGCGCACGTCGTGCACGTGGCATGGCCTGTACCTTCACCTTCAGGGTGAGGGACTTAACATTATTACTGCTGCTCAGAATGTTCTGGAGCCCTATGGCAAATATCTACTTTTTGGAGGTGGATTTGATTCTTGGACAGAGCCTATGGCTGATGTGTTAGTTGGGCAGATGGGATTTCCCCATCTCCCCATTCCCCCATTTTGTTTGAGCCAATAAACAAGGCAAGAGCACAACAAGAGGGGGTTGCTGCTGTGCGTGGTTTGTCAACAGGCCCTGCAGAGAGCTGCAGGAGCACCAGGGCAGCTCAGGTTGGATGCCTGGTATCCCAAGGCTGCCACCTGGACAACTCCTGCTTTCATGTGCACTGACTCTGGGGTTTAGCTAATTAAAACACATAGTACCCTCTTCATACCTCAGTACCACATCTGCCCCCAGACATGCATATATGTGAAAGCCAGGGTTCATGATAGTGCCAGCCCAGCCTTTGAGGAAGAACTCCCCCACTTACACACCCATTTGAAGGGAATGCAGTTTTTTGGCTTTGAAGTTAGCAGGGCAACCACTATCCCTGATGTTTTTGGTATAAACAAGACAAGAAGCATCGTAAGTCATTTAGAAAGTCAAGTCTCCTGGAGCCAGTAAGAATCACTTCTCAACAAAGCACACAGCAGTTTTATTTGAAGATTTTCAAATGCTTCTTGATATGTATATAAAGCATGTTTTCATAAGAAAAATAATTACGCATCTTTTAGGTGGTTTCCCTTTGCTGTATATTGGCTAGCAAGTAAGGTAGCCCCTTTGAAAGTGTCCATTAAACAGACCAACTGTGAGACACTGAGGCAGCCTCAGGCACAAAACTAGCACCCGCTAGCCCAAAGGATCACGAAACCGACCAGGCCCTCCCCAACACGATCGTTAAAATTAATACTAGGACTGCAGCATGTTCTTCAATCTGCATGATGGCTTTATTGTACAAAAAGTTTCCAGTAACAGTAAATTAGTTTTAAAAATGGACAAAAAAAGTCATTTTGGATAGAAGCGCTTCACTAATTGCTTTATTTAAGCATACAAGAGAAAAAAGTCTTAATCTGACCAATTAGGTTGGAAGGGTTTTATTACCTTTAAGAAGCCATTAGCTAGGATAAAACACTGAAAGCACTTGTGTCAAAACAAATAAATAATGCTCTCTCAATTAGCAGAGAAAGCAGTAAATCTGTTAAATTAGAGACACATACTGCTTCACATGGCACGGCCCAGCCAGCACCAGCAACCCCAAAACGAACAAACAAGAGACAACAGTTTTCAGGGACAATCTCGGAAGGATCAGGAGCTTTGGAAGATGGAGGACAGACACTTTTCTCCTCCCAGGTGAGTCTCTTCCTCAGGTGCACCGCAGGCTGGGAAGAGACTAGACTGGGCGATTGTCATCTCCATGGCCCAACAGAGACCCAAAGGGCACATGGTGCCCCTGGCTGCAGGCTGTCAGCAAGGAAAGGGGTCTTCCTTCTTCAGAGAGAGGAACCCTGAGGTACAGGACATGATTATTTTCTCTTACCTCTTCAAATGCTACTGATCTTTCCCAAATACAGGCTCAACAGAAAATTACAGTCATTTGAGGACCCCGACAAGTTAGGACACAGGCTCTGGGGCCAGCTCCAGGCTGTTTCCTGCCTGAGGACAGCAGTAATGGCAGCAGACAGCTTCAACTGACCCTGAACTGGCTTTGGGAAGAATGGGACAGTTCCCCCATTCCAAAATGAGATCCTTAGAACAATTTCTAATCAGATCCATCATTTTACCCAAATGGGGGATGGGGTCTGAAACCAACCCCCATCACCATATTCAGTCAATAAATAGAAATGAACTGCAATCCTTTCTTAGAGGGTCACTTTTTTTCAAGGGAAAGACAGACTTTTGCGACGCTGTAACAGGAATCCTGTCACTGCAGACTGTTTTTGAGGCACGGCACCCACCTGTGCAGCACTCTTGAGCAGCCTGTGGTCAGAGTCTGCTGAGACTCAGAGTAACTCTCAGGATTCATAGAAGACCATGTTCAGAGGTGACTGAGCAGTCACTAAGTTCTTATTCCCTGACCCTCTTTTCTAACAGAAGTTTGTCAGGGAATACCACACTATTCCTAAAATCCCAGGGACACCTTAAACCTTTAGGTCATTTCATTCTACAGCCACGTGAGTAAGAGAAAAATCAGTGGCTGCCTGGAGGCATCAACTCGGGCAGGTTTGGGTGTTAAGCCCATGATCTGTTTGGACAACTTCAATCTCTGGACTTGGGTTTACATTTCTGGGAACAACTTCACAGTCAATTCTAGATAAACATTTTATGTGACTGGTCCAAATGAAACTAACACATTAAGAGAAGCAAAAACAATGAAAAAGCTATCAAAAATTACACAAAGACCATTAAAACGATACTGGTGTCAAAACAAGGCCCATGAAACATGAACAACTTCAGTTTTCAAAGTCATCACTTTCCACATTATTCTACAGTTCCAGGAACATTTTCGAGCACCATATTGATAACGGGTAGGTAACTGACAAAGTCCCACTCTGGTGATCTGCTCTGCACCCTCATGGATGACACGTTTCCTAGTCATGATGTCCACAGCTCTCAGAACTACGCCTGCTCTCTGGGCGCTGCTAAGTAGCAACGGAAGAGCCAATAAATCAAGTCAGTGGTAGAATATTTTACTTTGAAATGGAGTTATGTTTGGTTAATAATTTGAGATCCACTAATCCTAAATGGGGTGACCCATTTAAAATGGCCTCTGTGTAAATTCACAGTTCATTAAATGGAGTCTGGTTTGAACAGGTCATTATGCAGTTAGCATCTAAGTAATGTGCTAAGGATGGTGGGGGGGACACCCAGGGCCACACTGGCTGAAGCTGGTGACTTTCATGACACTTTTCAAGCTTTCTTTAATACGAGGTTCATTCAAATCACCAACTTTTAAATTTAGGTAGTTTTGCTTAGTAACCCCTTTTGGTTTACAGTAGAAAATGCAGAGCAAAAATTTTAAATGAGGAATATTCCATTTGCAATTAAATTTAAACTTATGATGCTGTTTTTACTGGCCCATCTAAATGTGTTAATTAACATCAATGATGGTTTCTTATTTTTCACACTTTGTTACTCTGATCATTAACAGTGATGGAAAAGCTAAATTAAGTTAATGGGGAACGGATTATAAATTCTTAAAGGACTTCTTAGTTTGTTTTCAATTGGAAAATATACAGAGAAAGATGAAGAGGTATTTTCACCTCTACTCATAAATTTTTGGTACCAAATTTCTTAAAAACCAGATGGTTTTAAAAAAATTTTTCCAAAAATTATTTTAATATGCTGCTCAGACACGACTGCTAAAAAAAATATCATATACACAATAATACCGAACAGCTTTTGCAGTGCCTGTTAACTTTCACCTCATTTTCTCTTTCTAAAAAAAAATATATTAAAACTGATCAAAGAACTCAGTCTTTACTTTCCAATAGTATCAAAGGTCCTTAAATACTCAACAATGAAGGAAAAACGAAAGCGCATTCTCCTGGCTCGAGCACGACTGTGAAGAGGGTGGTGGAAAGGTCCTCTGCCCTGATGCCTGAGGGTCCCTCGTGGCTGCACCTCTGTAGGCAGCTGGCGGGGCGTAGGCCAAACCTCTCACGCCTGGGAAACCCACATGTGCCGCACACACGAGAGCCCAATGCCACTTAGCGGGACTTCACACCGACGAGGATGACAATGAGGACAATGATGATGACAAATAGTATTAGAATTACAAGCATTTTCCGATTCTTCTTTTGATACTGTTCTGCCTACAAAGAGAGGAGGGAAAAAAGGTGTCATTTTCCCCAAAATACCAAATCAAGTCTCACTTGCTTCCCTTTGAGGTTTCTGGATCTCCTGCATAGTAACTGCATCTCTGCTCCAAGCTATGCTAGCCCCACCCCCACCCCCCACTGTTTCAAGAGACTCCAACTGCTGTGCGTGAAAGAGTTCCGTGATTCTGGAGCTGCTTATTCACCCTGGGCTTAGGAACAAACTGATTGGAAATCTACTGTTGAAACCAAAGCTAACAGAGAAGTCACAGCTTATGCATCCACGTTAGGGTGGACCTGCTTCTCCCTACTTTCCCTCTACAGGCTGCCATGACCCTTCCTGCAACCAGAGCTGTCT